AGATGTGGATACAACTGAAATGTCCATCAACAGAGGAATGCACAAAGATAATGTGGTATACATTTATATATATATATATACAATGGAATGCTACTCAGCCACTTAAGGAAGGAAATCTTGCCATTTGTGACAATGTGGATTGACCCAGAAGGTATTATGGTAAGTGAAGTCAGAGAAAGACATAAGATTTCAGTTACTGTGGAATATAAAAAACAAAGGAACAAACACAACAAAGTAGAAACAGGCTCATAGGTACAGAAAGCAAACTGGTGGTCACCAAAGGGGGAGGAGTTTGGAGGGCTGGACAAGAGAGGTGACGGGGATTAAGAGGTAGAAACCTCTAGTTATAAAATAAATAAGCCAGAGGGGTATAATATACAGCATAAGGAATATGTCAATAGCACTGTAATAACTTTTACAGATGGACAGATTGGTACTAAGACTTAACATGATAATCGTTTCATGACGTATGAAAATAAATCATTATGTAGTCCACCTGAAAATGTGAAGTGAAGTCGCTCAGTCGTGTCCGAATCTTCGTGACCCCATGGACTGTAGCCTACCAGGCTCCTCCATCCATGGAATTTTCCAGGCAAGAGTACTGGAGTGGGTTGCCATTTCCTTCTCCAGGGGAATCTTCCCGACCCAGGGATCAAACCCAGGTCTCCCGCATTACGGGCAGACGCTTTACCGTCTGAGCCACCAGGGAAGCCCACACCTGAAAATAACATAATGTAGTAGTCAACAATATTTCAAGTTTTTAAAAACCTATNTTTCTGCCATAAGGGTGGTGTCATCTGCATATCTGAGGTTATTGATATTTCTCCCAGCAATCTTGATTCCAGCTTGTGCTTCTTCCAGCCCAGCATTTCTCATGATGTACTCTGCATATAAGTTAAATAAGCAGGGTGACAATATACAGCCTTGACGTACTCCTTTTCCTATTTGGAACCAGTCTGTTGGTCCATGTCCAGTTCTAACTGTTGCTTCCTGACCTGCATATAGGTTTCTCAAGAGGTGGGTCAGGTGGTTTGGTATTCCCATCTCTTTCAGAATTTTCCAGAGTTCATTGTGATTCATAGAGTCAAAGGCTTTGGCATAGTCATGCCCTTAAATATTATTAAAATATTAGAACTTATTGCTAGGTTTGTTAACAGAGTTTCAGGAGGGTTTTTTTTTTTTTTTTTCATAATGAAAAATCAAATTTTGAAAAGTTAGTTTGCTCCCAGATCTTGAATTTATTTCTGGAGCCAGTAGACATGCTTCATCTGTTGTGCTTTGTCTTTTTGCTTCTTTTTGGTTTCTTGACCTGGTGGAGGCAGGAAAAATCTATATTGTTCATCTCTGTGATGAAACAGAGGTCATATAGAGGGTATGGCTTTGGATCAGTGAGGGACCAGAAGGAATTCTGTTTTTACTTTGGTTAGGCTTATTTACTTTAGGAGAGATGGATTGATTTTAAGTCAAGACTTTGACCAGTATTTTTTTGTTTTGTTTTGTTTTCTGTGTTGTATATAAACCTTACAAAACAGAAACCACATTATTTTTTTCTCCAACTTTTAATTTTGAAACTTAAAGAGAAATAGAATGAATAGAGGGGAATTCCCTAGTGGTCAAGTGTTAGGACTAGGGGTTTTCTCTGCTGCAGTCCCAGATTGAATCCCTGGTAGAGGAAATAAGAATTCATAAGCCTCATGTTGTGGCCAAAAGAAAAAAAAAGTAGCACACCCATCATAACCTTCATGAAATTCACCAGTTGTCAGCATACGGCATTTATTTCCTCATGAATAGATTCAGGATAAATGTTTTGGGCAAGAAGTCTGCAAAGGTGATGTATGGACTTATGTGTCATACCAGGAGCCATATGAGGTGGTTGTCCCACTTATTAGTGTTACTATGATTGATTCATTGATAAGTGGTGGTCGCCAGAGCTCTCCATTGTAATAGTATAGCTTTCCTTTTGTAATTAATCATAATTCATAATAGGTGAAGTAATAGTTTGAGACCCCATGTATGTCCTGTTCGTCAAGAACCTTTCACCCAGAGGTTTTAACATCCACGAAAAATCTTTGTCTCAATCATTTATAACATGGTTACTGGGGACAGGAAAGGACTGAAAAATTGTGATGTCTTACTATTCCTTCTGCATTTATTGGTTGACAAATTTTGTAAAGCCAGGTTTCTCCCCCACCCCCACCCCGATTTCTCTTCCTCTTTAAGGTATCCTTATGGACTCATGGATTTTTACTTAATGTTTTATAATCCATTTCTCTAATTCCTTTTCTTACTGCCCTAAATCAAATCATTTTAATGAATACATAGACTTTCCATTTGAACAGAAAATTACATTGATGTTAAAGTGCTCTATTTAATTTTTAGCATTACTAATGAATGCTATTTCACAAAATATTGAATATACTTGAGACACATTAGTGATCATAATCATAGTTCTCATAGAAGTTATGACCAAAGGATCCCTGTTAACCACAGGGAAACACTGCTGCCCGTAATCCCACCTGCATCTCACCCGATCCCGATCACACAACAAGGTCACAAGATTGGAACAAGAAGCAGAGCCAGAGACTTCCTCCCCTCGGCACTGTGGCTTTAAAGAGTCACTACAGGGACTTCCCTGATGGTCCAGTGGTTAAGAATCTGCCTTGCAATGCAGGGGATGCAGGTTCGATCCCTGGCCGGGAAACTAAGTTCCCACATGCTGCTGGTTAACTGAGCTCACGTGTCACAACTACAGAGTCGGAGCACCACAACCAGAAATCCCACAGAAGCCTGTGAAGATCCCGAAAGCCACAACTAAGTGAAACCTGATGCAGCCAAAGAAACAAAAAGATTTTTTTAAAGTAGGCATTATATTAAAAAGCAGAGACATTACTTTGCCGACAAAGATACGTCTAGTCAAAGCTATGGTTTTTCCAGTAGTCATGTATGGANCTGTTTCTTGAAGAAACCAAGTTGTTTGTTCTCTAGTTCCCCACAGTCTAGTTTTTACTGTTTGCATCTTTCTGGTGTAGATTAACACATTCTTCTCAACCCTGTACTTCCTGTAAATTGCTAGTTGAGTCTGTGAACTTGATCAGATTCAGGTTCCTTATTTTGGGGAAGATCCCCGTATCAGTGCTATGTTCTTCCATAAAAAGGCATTAATGCCTGGACTTCCCTAGTGGTCCATGAAGCCTCCACCCTCCCATAGCAAGCGGCCTGGGTTTGAACCCTGGTCAGGGAACTAAATCTTGCATGCTGCAACTAAGAGCCCACATGCCACAGCTAAGACCTGGCACAGTCAAAAACTGACCCTCATGCCTAACAGGCTCTCATTCTGTGATGTTGGTGGCCATTGATACAATGCATAGATCCACTTCTTTGTGAGGATCTGCAAAATGGTAATTCTAAATCTGTCATTCCTTCATTTGTTTTTTTCCATCAGGATACTTTCTTTGAAGGAAACTTACTGTGACCTTCCATTTGGTTACCCAAGGACAGAGTTGATATAGGAAAGACAGGGAAAATGTGCTTTCTTCTTAATTTTATTTTTGTCCATTTTCAAAATAACAAGTTCTTGTTTTTGTAATACCCTGTCCAGTGACCAATTCATTTTTGCTGTTGTTGCTGGTATCATAATGAAAGTGCATATTGTTTAATCAGTGTTTGGTTTGCTTTGGTTTGCTGGCTTGATCACAGAGCACATTACCATTTCAGGGACTAAGCCTGGCTTTCGAAGCCTCTCTCTTGCCTCAGTAAAATGAAAACTGAACACCTCCAGGGTTTGGCTTCAGAAAGGTAGGCAAGGTCAGCACCCAGATGCCCTTTCTCTCGATTTCCCCATGCACTGTGTAGGACCTGTCTGTCTTATTCTGTGTGTCTGGCACCCACTGTCACTTCCTGAGAGACTCTGATCTCTCTGTGTTGTGTTGTCTGGGGGAGGTGGTGCCTGTTGTCTCTCGAGAACGCTAGGAGGGTCCACCTTCCTGCTCCCGGTGCCTTCTGGCGGCAGGCATGTGATCCCGGTCAGCTGATCAAACCTCCGTCCTGGACTTGGACTGCAGAGCGGGCCAGGAGGGGCACTGTGAGGCCACTGGTGGAGGCCGTGCCCTTCGCCCTTCATGCTACATGAGGGTAGCTGTGCTGCTGTCTCTTTATCTCTGGAGCCCCTCCCCGCCTCCGGTTCTTGGTTGCTTTCTGAGCCTCGTTTAGGCTTTTTATTGGAGCTGTGAGCTCCTGCTATCATTTCAGTAGATCCCTGTGTGCTTAAATAAGCAGTGCAACTTGGCAAGTTGTTGCCTGCAGTTGGGATCTCTGGATGATTCAGTAATTGGCGTTAGACAGTTGGTCTTACAGGAAACACGTCTCCAGAGAACTGTGGGATTGGGGATGAATTATCTGACTGAGTGGGATTAGGCACAGAGTCCAAGTAGGAAATCCAGTTGTCTCTGGCAGGCAGTTGTGAAATAGCTACCTCATCCAGTCACGTGAATTCATGTTGCACAATTTATAGCAAGGTTCTGGGGACCAGAATATGGACTAGTCAGGATGGTGGGGTGGCTGCTCCTGCCTGCAGCGGAAAGTTTAAAGCAAGTAAACAACACATTCAAGTCTCCAAACCAACCTGCTGAACCTAAAGAACGTCATTTCTCATAGGTAGTGTGCGTGTGTGTGCGTGTGTGTGTGTGTGTGCGAGCGCTCGCTCATTCAGTCATGTCTGACTCGTCCAACTCTTTGCGACCCCCCCATGGACTGTAGCCCACCAGGCTCCTCTGTCCATGGGATTCTCCAGGCAAGAATGCTGGAGTGGGTTGCCATTTCCTTCTCTAGGGAATCTTCCCGACCCAGGGATTGAACCCGGGTCTCCTGCATTGCAGGCTGATTCTTTACTGTCTGAGCCACCATGAACATTATTGAACATTACTGAGGTATAATTTACTTTGCAGGGTTATTAAGAGGATAAAATAAGTTGATATAGAAAGCACTTTGTAAAGTACTGTTTCTTTTTTTTTTTTTTTTTGGTTTGGGAAGAGCACTGAACAGGAAGTAAAACAAAAATCAATCAATCAACCTGAGAATAGCCCAGAAAACATTAGCTAAACCTAAAAGGAATAGTCTTGGAAATAAGAATTTCTAGTATTTTAAAATATGAGTGTTATCTGCTGGTCAAGTATTCATCAATTATCCTACAGGGAAAAACTGTAAGCAGTGCTGTAAACAAGACTATCTGCTTTGAAGAGCTTACAAAGGAGTTAATCATCTAGGTGTACTTCAGGACATTTGTGTTATTACAGACGGAAACGTAGAAAATGGGAGATATTGAAGGACCCATGAAAGTACCATAAACCGATTTAAAATGCATATGGGTTAGCGCATTTTTCAGTTTCTCTGCAAGGATGGCTTCATGACTATGGCACATCATTGGTTAATCTCATACTGCATTAAATATATAGTTTAAAGTGACTTTTTACAAGTGAAAACAAAATTCTGTAGTCACTGAATTCAACTTTTATTGAGGATATAATGAGGAATCAAACTGTCCCTGTCCTTAAGGGACTCATATTTGCAAGTAGGGGAACAAATTTTACAAGACAAGGGAAGATGCTGGGAGAGCAGAGCCCACAGAGAGCTGGGGGAGCCCTACAAGGACCAGGGGGATGGTGGTGGGGGAGGGAGTAGAAATGTTGGGAAGCCACATGGAGAAAGCGGAAGCTTTGCCTTGGCTGAGACTTGAAAGTTTCAGTGCAGGGAGGTAGGGAGGAAGGCCCAGTGGAGCATTGCGTGCAGACAGGAGGCAGGAAAGGATGTGTTGTTTCAGGGACCACAGAGGTCCTGGGATACGAGTGTAAGGCAGTAGGAAATGGATTACTTTTCACAGAAATAAGGAATGAATATTGGCTCTATAAGCACTAATTAATTTACATCATGATTGGCTGTGTACTCGGTGTTTACATTTCTTTAGGAACTATTTGTATTCTTTTTTTTCCAGTGTCATGGAAATATTTTAATTGATGAAACATATTAGGAAAAATGTAAACATTCATTAAAGTGCTTCTCTCTTAAGGATTTTGCAGCTACTGAAAGCTTTGACTACCACTAACAGCTAAACACCACTAACACCACTAACACCTTGATGAAACAAAGCATTACCCGAGTAGAGGAGAATCATAAAGGTTTGAAACGTCTATAGTTTTCTGATCAGTGACTGACTCATCATAATTTTCAACAGCTGTGCCTTCAAAATCTTTGAGAAAGGTCAGAAATCCATTGTGCAGATGAAGAAACTGAAGCAAACAGGATTCTTCTTGGTCTTAATGTGGAGACCAGAGTACATCAGGGAGATTATTGCTTCTGATTGTACCAAGTTTCTCAGACCGGTAAGTTTCCATTTGTTTTGTAAATCCCAAAGTGGAAGGTGTTTTGAGATTTCTTCTCCTGTCTACTGGAAATACGTCACTTGATCTTCATAAAGTGCTCGGAGTGCTTAGTACTCTAAGAAGCTAGAGCAGGGACTCATTCTCTGAGAGTTTAGAAGAAAGGACGGGCAGCATTGATTATTCATGAAGTTCTGATCATGGAGCTAGTTTAGATCCTTCAGAAGTCAGAGCGTATGATATGTGCATTCGGATTTTTTTTTAATCACAATTAATCATCTGTCTGAAGTGTCTTCACTGGATTCTTCTTGTATAAGAAGGACATAGCTTCCTGCATTCCTGCTGACGTACCTGACAACACTGCCAAGCAAATGAGACATTTAAAAACCTGTGATTAAGGCACTACATAAATAATCTGTGTTCTATCTTTTCTCTTGTTACATGATTTTCTAATAAATTATGCAAAGAAGGAGGGTACTGGTTTTTTGAATCTAGCAGACTTTTATGCATAGATTTCTGAAAATATTAATAAAAAAAACTACATGAGTTCTACCTCTTCCAGATTCCTAAGATGTCCATCTCCCACTATCTACTCTACATAGTCCCCATAAAATATTATAAGCTATTAGTGAAGTTCATGTTTCATGCCTATAACTGAAACTTGGACAGAAGACATCTGGATATAATTAAAATAGCAGGTAATTTTAATTTTAAAAATATTGAACAGATTTAAAAAATAAAACTCAGAAGACCATCTGCATTTACATTAGAAGCATTATTAAAAGGATAACAACCTTTTATCTCTCTGCACTAGTTTTTCCAATTATAAAAGTAATATGTGTCCACAACAGAATATTTCTAAATATAATGAAGACTAAAATTTAAATGAGCCATTATTCTGCTTCCCATATAATACAGTTCTTATAAAAGTCATTTTTCACCATATGGATGCACCATCATTTATTTAACCAATTCCTATCATCAGCCATTCTGGTCATTAAAATATTTTGCCATAATGAATTTTTTATATATAAATTTTTGACATTGCTAATCATTTCCTTAGGGTAAGATTCTAAATAGAAGCACTGGTTCAAATGCCATGAACTTTTTTGGGGAAACTTTTGATACATGTTCATGAATTGCTTTCCAAAAATGATAATGCCAGATAACACTACTCCCAGCAAAGAACAAGGTTGCCGGTCCTCATTAAGTGCTCACTGGCTCAGCATGGAGTTTCAGTATTGCCAATTCAACAGGTGAATAGCCTCCTTCTAAAAAGGTACCTGGTAAGAATAGCTTTTCATCACAGTTACAGAGGACTGGTAAATACTACTCTCATCCAGCCTCTACAGATCTAAGTATCAGCGTTCCACTGAGAGAGACGTGCTGAGGTCCTACTCGGAATAAGGTGCCTGCCCACCCTTGAAGGAGTTAAGAGCCTGTGCGGACAGGCTCTGTTCTCCCTCCCTCACGGCCACAGCCCACGGTGCTCAGGGGGGCAAAGATCCCAGGCCCTGTGCCCCATCTTACACCCCCCTTTTCTGTTCTCAGCCACATGAGACGGGCAGGCCCAGCAGAGGCCGGTTGAAGGGTTCTTGGCTCAAGGCTTGGGCCCCACAGAACATGTCAAGTATACTTGCTTGTGCGTTTTCACAACCACTTACCTAGATGGCTTACACTTTTTGTTCATTGAAAGGCAGGGGAGGAAAAACATTATTTCTCACAAGTCTGTGCTTCTGGTCCTTTTATTCTATGTACTGTTCATAAATAGAATTCTGTACTTTGCATTTATTTGGATATTTACATTTTAAAAGGAAATCATTAAATAAGCCAACTCTCGGGAAAGGAAAGAATTCTTAATATCCAGTGCATTCTATCTGCTCTTATTTACCCAAGAATCTGTATTAAAGTATATCTTCTCAGAGCAATCTTTGACCTTCAGGGGGTAATATACTATATGAAAGCATAGTTTGAATATATATATGTATATGTGAAAATATATATATATATTCTTAGAATATATATGTGAATATATATATAGTATGTATATGTATATTGAATATACATATTGATATATATTCTTGGACAGTAATTTCCTCAGTTGTTCATTTATAGATAAGGGGTAGCTTCTCAGAGTCTTTGTCTAATCCAGTCTTTCTTCCTCCTAGTCCTGGAAGGCCATGCCACTATCTCTTTCTTCCTAAGTCTCCAAAATTGACAGATGTCATTGTGTCTAAAAGTTCTTGAGAAAAATACATTCTGAGGCAAAACTTCAACAGATCTATGTTATTGTATTGGTGAAGTCAGGGAATTCACCCAATCCATCTAGCCTTTGATAAAAGGATAAAAAAAGAGTAATTACCTACCATAGACTGATGGCTGGAATTAGTAATAAAACAGCGGAGAGCAGAAAGACGAAGCCTTTGTACCAAGCAACAGTGGCTGAATAAATTCCGTTGAAAGCAGAAACTGCAGTGATTCCGCCAAGCGTTTCTAAGAAAGCAAGACAAGCAAACATGGTGCCTGTTTGGGGTCGGGGTGTGGAGGGAAAGAGAGAAAAGGCTGAGTTACAAAACAACAAACAAAATAACACAGAAAACTGCAAACATGGGGGCGCTGCCTGGTGAAGGAGGCAGTCACCCATTTTGTGGGTGAAGAAATTGAGGTCAAGAGTTCTCCTTGGACCTGCCGAGAGAGGAGCTGGAATCAGTACTTCCAGGATCCATGGGGCAAAGCTAAAAAGCATTGGCCGCTTAGGCGTGTGGAATCAGCTGTGTGTCTGCCCCGACCACAGCCTTAGACACAGATCCACCTGCCCCTGAGGTTCCAGGCTCCCCCTGCCACTCTTGGTCCCTGGGCTAATCTGTAACACGGCCGTGGGGCAGGATGCCTCCCTGTGGGCAACATCCGGGTCAGGTCAGATCTGGCAAGAGTGACAGGCAAGGCAGAGAGATATAATCTTATCTTATGTGCCTGCATGATAAGTCGCTTCAGTCATGTCCGACTCTTTGTGACCCTATGGACCGTGGTTCTCCAGGCTCCTCTGTCCATGGGATTCTCCAGGCAAGAATACTGGAGTGGGTTGCCATGCCCTCCTCCAGGGGATCTTCCCAACCCAGGGATCTTAACGTCTCCTGCATTGGCAAGCAGGTTCTTACCACTAGCGCCACCTGGGAAGCCCTTGGGAATCTTATCATACATTCTGCAATTTGAATTTGATCCCTTCCTCTAGAGTAACAAAAAAATCAGTTACTTCAGTTTCCTGTTTGACTGGTCCAGTAACTACATCACTGCCCTATGCTCTAGTAAAGGTTATGCCACAGACTGATATTAAGTGATTCTCTAAAACATACTTTTCTGTCTTAACCTGCTTACAACTGTCCCCTCAGAGGGGACTCTGCTCTCCTTCCTGCTTGCTACCCCAGGCATGGGAAAGGGCAGGTGTCAGAGCATTGCTCAAGAAGCCTGAAAATGATTTTGGGGTCAGCTCAAGCTCACAGTCAGAGAAATGGTCCTTATTCCACAAGTTTTGAGTCCTGTCTGGAATCCAAGACCATGTTGACTGAAGAGTTAAACTGAAGAGATAACCCCCCAAAAGACAGTTGAGCATCTTGACGCACTTTTCTTCCTCTTGGTCAAATTTCGCATCACTAAGAACGCCATGGCTGTTCTCAGCCCCCGGCTTCAGTGGTATAAGCTCCTACGGTTTCTGCAGATCCTTCTTTCTTCAAGCTGCTGTGTTTGTTCCCTGCTTTGCCGAGTTTCCTTTTCCATGATAAACTGTAATGCACTTTCCTTATAGACAGTGCTAATTATGTAAATGATTGTGCTTAATTGGACTGATAAGGAAGGAAAAAGCAAGTTCGAGGATCACCTTTAACAGCTGGATTATAGTTTATGTGTCTAGCCTCTTGCTTTCCCCATGTTCTTGCTCTTTTAGACTGTGTATTGATTTTTGTCTCTTTAAATCTTCACTCTCTTGTACACATTCTGGTTGGTGTGTGTGTGTGAAGTCGCTTCAGTAGTGTCCTACTCTTTGCAGCCCTATGGATTGTAGCCCGTCAGGCCCCTCTCCATGGGATTTTCCAGGTGAGAGTTCTAGAGTGGGTTGCCATTTCTTTCCTTCTCCAACATATTCTCATATACTGCTTCAGAGTCTTCATTGAACAACAGGACATGTGTTCATAAAACAAACCTCTCTCTGCAGAACACTAGGTTATCAGAGATGTGTCTTCTTTTGACCACAGTGAAAGTTCTGCCCATGTCAAGTGCACGTTTGCTTTGTTCACCGCTGTGTCCCCAGGGTCTAGCTGTGCTGGCAGAGGGTAGACATTTAATACATACTTGTCAAGCGATTGAATAAAAGCTTCATTCAAGGGCACCGTTATCCATCATCATGTAGCAAGCATATGGGCTTAGTGGCTCCATGATAATACAAGATTATACAGAATATTATGATATTTATGATGATACAGGAAGTCAGTTTAATTGGAAACAAGGTCTCCTAGTTATCTAACTATGGCATTGTTTCATTTTATTTCTGATTCCGTGCTAAAGCCAGGGACGGTGTCATGGTGCTAATCCTATTTACACGGTGGCTTGAGTCTTTTCTTGTCGGAAACTGGGTCAGGCTGTGCAAACAACTACCCTCTCATGAAATAGCTCTAGCTTCTTACTGCACCTCCCTGAGTAGTACAACTTGTTTAATAGTTACCAAAGAAAAATTGATTAAATAAAAGCACAATGGAGTTTATTTTCTAAACTTTAAAAAAATCCAATAGATGTCAAAACTCAGGTCTGTCTGTTTTACTGGGTCCCATGTATTAAAGTGGCTCATCTGGTTAAGAATCCGCCTGCAACGTGGGAGACCTGGGTTCAATCCCTGGGTTGGGAAGATCCCCTGGAGAAGGGTAAGGCTACCCATTCCAGTATTCTGGCCTGGAGAGTTCCATGGACTGTATAGTCCATGGGGTCACAAAAAGTTGGACACGACTGAGTGCCTTTTACTTTCACTTTCATGTATTAATAGAATTTCAAGGAGTACACAGATGACAAGCTAAGAGGGAGTCCAGGGTGCTCTAGCAGTGAATTTCATAGCTGTCTGGAGCACAGAGATTTCAAAATAATTAGCGAAAGTCAGTTTCCTCCTCTTTTTTACATAAGGTATTATGATAGAGATAGGGAGAAGCACCCGAAAAACTCTGTAGCACTTCCCTTCTCAGAATATTTTAAGGTGCCTAATGTTTTCACAAAAACATCCATTTTTAGAAGTAATGAAGGATGGAAGTACATTCACTTTTATACATTTCAGTACCACCAGAAGATTTCTTCATTTGCAGTTAAGAACAAAATGACTCTACTATCCTGGAGCAATGGAATCACAATGGAATTGACAAAGTTATTTCAACTCAGAATAAGACATGCCAAAATGCAAACTACACATTTTGAAATGTCACTGTATTTAATAATATGAAACCACTTCTTAAAAGAGTTGATAAATAAACCAAGCTAAACTAAAGCAAAGTAAATAATACATTCTGACAAGTCTATTGTAGTTCTAAGTCAAAGCAGGTTGATATTTATTTTTGTTTCCTGAACAGCTTTACTGAGATATAATTCACATAATATAAAATTCACCCTTTTAAATTGTACAGTTCAGTGGTTCTTCCTATGTTCACAGAAACTGGGCGACCATCACCACCGTCTAAGTTTAGGACATTTTCATCTCCCCAACAGACTCTTTGTGCCCATTAGCAATCACTCCCTTTTTCTCTAGTCCCTGGGGAAGCACTGGTCGAATTTCTGTCTCCATGAATTTGCCTATTCTAGAAATTTTGGTAAAATGGAATCATATTTATATAATAAATAATATGTGACCTTTTGTGACCAGCTTCTTTCATTTAGCATAATCATTTCAAGGTTCATTCCTGTTGTAGTGTGTATCATGACTTCATTTCTTTTTATTGTGAAATCATATTCTGTGGGACAGACACACCTTATTCTGCTTACGTATTCACCAGTTCATGGGCATTTGCATTGTTTGTGCTTCTTGGCTATTATAAATAATCCTGCTATGAACATTTGTGTGCAAGATTTTGTGTGGACATGTGTTTTCATTTCTCTTCAGTGTATACCTGGGAATGGAATTGCTGAGTCATATGGTAACTCTATTTAACTTTATCAGGAGCTATCAAACTGTTTTGTTAAATGGCTGCATCATTTTGGATGATTCTCTCACCAGCAGTGCATGAGGGTTCCAGCTTCTCCACGTCCTCATCAACACTTCTTATAGTCTGTCTTTTTCATTTCACCCATCCCAATGGGTCTCAGTGTGGTTCCGATTTGCATTTCCCGGATGGCTAATGATGTTGATCATTTTTCATGTGTTTGTTAGCCATTTGTACATCTTCTCTGTAGATGTTAGTTCAAATCCTTTGCCTATTTCTTAATTGGATTGTCTTTTTATTGCTGAGTTTTAGTATATTTTGGACACAAGCTCCTTATCAGAGATATGATTTGCAAGTATCAATATATTTTCCCATTCAGTGAGCTGTCCTTTCACCTCCCCCCCTCCTTTTTTTCCCCCCTCTCTCTCTTTCCTTTTTATTTTTTAAAGTATGGAAGTATGGTAAAACATTTACAGGAGACTTGGACAATACAGAACAAAGTTACATATTCTTTTCACTTTCTTGATGGTGTCCTCTGAAGCATGAAAGTTTTTAATCTGGATAAAGTCTAATTTATCTGTTTTGTTGTTGTCGTACTTTTGGTGTTGTATCTAAGAAACCCTTACATAATTCAAGGAAGCAGCTAAGTTTTTACATACTGTAGTTCTTATATTCCTAAGTGATTTTCCAATTACTCTGCATCACACAATCAACAAATATTTGTGTGAATATACAGCTACATCTTACACATGGAAAAGAATTGAGAAATATATTTTTAAATTTGTTGAATTATTCAATCTTCTGCAGTGGGGCAGGGCATGTCTAGAGCAAGCCCTCCACAGCACAAGGCCCTGGGCAGGGGCTCCCTTGCCTGAATATCAGCTCTTCCTAACACAGACCTTATCACCCGATTCAAAAGGAGTTCTGTGCAGAAAAAGGGTTGAGAATATTCTGAAGAATCAAACACTGATTGTACACAGCTATGAGGTGGTACAGATTATAAAGTCATTCTGTTCCTTAAGCAAGTTAGACTCACCTTGCTCAGTAGAACGCACCACTTTTGATATCATGGACCGTAGAACAGAGAGCGGCATGACAGTGAAGAGGAACGGCAGCCTGACTGTGAGAGGAAGAGATAACAATTAACTGGCTTGATCTGAAAACTCAGGGTCAGTTTTAAGCCTGAAACACTTTCCCTCTAAATAGTTCATTTTCTCTAAGCATCCTGATTCATTGCTTCTAACGACTGAATTAATTAATGGAAGAATTCTGTTTAATAAAGGAAGATAGAGGATGGACAGGTCAGTTTAAGATGAGCTTACTTTCTGCAGATGTGGAAAATGTAGGGTTCCTGGGGGTAAGGGAAGAGAGGAAGGATGAATCGGGAGATTGGGACTGACACATACGCAGCACTAGATAAAAAATAGATAACTAATAAGGACCTACTGTAGGGCACAGGGACCTCTGCTCAACACTCTGTAATGGCCTCTATGGGAAAAGAATCTAAAAAAGAGTGGGTATATGTATGTATTTGTGTCACAGATTCACTTTGCTGCACCCCTGAAACTAACACAACACTGTAAATCAATTATACCCCAATACAATTTTTACAAAATTATATAAAAAATTAATTTACTCTCAAATCCTTACTCTAGTGCAGAGAACAAGAGTTTATGGAAGTCATTGGTCCAGGTCTGTATAATCTGCTGCTGGAAATTGATATGTTTCCCTGGTTATTACAGTAACTTCATGTTTAGCAGGTTGTGACTGTTAATAAGTTTTTTGTTTGTTTTCTGTTTCTGCTCTTTCAGACCTGGCAGTTTTAGTGCTAGCATTCTTTCATTGTATGATCTACTCATTGGCAAACTGGTTCCTTATCTTTTCAGTTGTTCATCTTTATGGCTGAAAAATTTCAGGAACACAAATTGCCTCTGTTCTTAGATTCTGACCCTTAAGAGTCAGTAGCATTTTCCATTATAAGATAAAACAGTAAGATATTACATTTGCAGATCACTGTAAATTTCTCACATATATTAACTGACTTTGGCCTTGGCAATTCCAAGGGAGATGGGGAGAGGGACCTGTCCTTTTCTGAACTCTTGGCATTGTGCTAAGTGATTTGCAGTTGTCTCTTCTAATATTTGTGACAATCCTCTGAATCAAGCACCACGATGCCCATTTTAGAGATAAAAAAAAAAAATAAGGGCTCAGAGCAGTTCAGTAACTAGCCTAAGATCACCTGGCTCTGCAGATGGAAATTAAACCCAATTCTGCTTGTCATCTTGCCTCCTTGCAGGGTAGCAAGAGGTTAATACTGCCTTTGTCGAAAAAGACCAAATGGACCTTTCCTGAGGTCTCACTTTACAGACCCTTTAACCTGTGCAAGTGCAGTATTTTTCACTCAAGCCTTACAAAAACCACTGATGGGGTGCAGGTAGTTAAGGAAACAGTCCAGCTTGCCAGAAAGTGATTCATCAAAAGTCAATTCATGAAATGACCAATTTGCTGAAATTTCAATTTGCAAAGTCTCCTTGAATACATCCAGACGAGATCGGGCATGTTCAGGGTGGTATGGTCATAGACTTGAATATATTCAATGAATATTTTTCTTACAAATCTTTTGAGCATCCTTTACATAATAGTCTTATTTTTTTTAAATCTAAAGTAGCCTTCTTAGTAGCGCTTTAAGAAATAGTTAAGTTGGTGAATGTTATATTGAAGAACTGATTCACAAGAAGTTTCCTCAAGACAATTATTGGGCAAATATGCAAATTTAGAAAATTGTGGTTATTAAAAAGGTTTTTTTTTTAAGTCAGTTGTTTTTCAGCTTCTGGAAAATTAGCTTTTAACAAATTACCTTTAATTAAACTAGAATACATTAAATAGATAATTTTATATTAAAATTTCTCAACCATCGGACTACATTCATTTTATATAAATATCACATATGAAATTATAGGATACACTTGTAACTTATAACTTACCTAAAAACATCATCAATGTTGTTCTGGCAAAAGCAGTCATAGCCATGCCCACCATGGTGGTAAAAGTTCCTATGAAGGCCATGTGAATATCTTCCATACAATAAGAAAAAAGCCATATTCCCAGGAAACTGGTGAAAAAAGTGACACTACCCAAAGCTGATCCATAACCTATTAAAACTTCATCCCAGCAGAGCGGCGAATCCAATTCATAAAGGACAAAAATGGGGGAAACACCAATGGTCACGAAAAAGTAAGTGATCATCGTGAAAAGCAACAAACCGCACAAAGACCGTTGCGCACCAGAAGCATTTTTAAAAAGCATGTACGTTCGGTTAAATAGGTTTTTAAAGGCTTCAGTCCACGATACAGAAATATTCTGAGATGAAGACTCTTTCATTGAATCCTCAAGAAAAAATAAAATATAAATCAAGTTCACAGAAAGAGCCACGGTAACAATTAAAAAGGACCACACAAAACCTAACCCTCTAATAAAATAGCCAGAAGACAATCCTGTTAATCCACTAACAACTCCAAACAGGAAGTCAATTATGGCGATTCGAATCGTTCTTTGTTTCTTTTCTTTACATTGATCAACTATGTAGGCAAAAGAGGCTCCCAGAAGTGTGGTGTAATTGCCAAAAAGTGCACCAATGAAGGTAGATGCAATCAGAAGTTGGATTGGAAGGGCAAAATAAGAAAGTAGACAGAGCCAAGCGCTGTTTGCAAGAGCGCCGACAGAAGACAAAATCAGAGGGAATTTCCTTCCTCCATGGTCACTGTGCGACAGAAACACGAATGTAGACACGAGACCGGGAATTAACCCACTTATGTCCATTTGCAGGTTAAAAAGAGACACTTTTTTCTGGACCTCCTGCAAAGAAAAAGAAGACAAAGTGTTTACAGAGGTTTTTACAATGTGCCTGAAAATATTTTGGTATAGACTTTTCTTGAAAAATCAAGCAAGAGCTGGTAAGTCAGGGATGGGGAATTTATAGTGCATGAGTTTTTTGTTTTTGTTTTTTAAAAATATTTATTTGTTTGGTTGCCCTGGGTCTTAGTTGCGGCAAGCTGAATCTTTGATCTTTGTTGCACCACGTGAACTCTTAGTTGCAGGTCCCCCAGCATTGGGCAAGAAGTCTCAGCCACTGGACCACCAGGGAAGCTCTCAACTTAAATCTTTATCCAGTTCACAATGCAAAGATCAAGAGCTGATATAATCATCAATGCTCAGTCATAATGTTCAAGTACCACAGTGGAGACACTGACCCATAAAAATAAAATGTGTGTATTGGTGTATGTCTGGCTCACATCAAGCATCCACAGAGCCCAAGGCCTCATGGACTGGCCGTGTAATGACTTCTCTTTCTTCTGTGGACTTCCTTGATAGCTCAGTTGGTAAAGAATCTGCCTGCAGTGCAGGAGACCCCAGTTCAATTCCTGGGTTGGGAAGATCCCCTAGAGAAGGGATAGGCTACCCACTCCAGTATTTTGGCCTGGAGAATTCCATCGACTGTACAGTCCATGGGGTCATGAAGAGTCAGACACAACTGAGCAAATTTAATTTTCTTTCACTTTCTTCTGTGGATAGTTTGCACTAAGAGATTGCGTTCTAAAGGAAAAAGGATACCTTTTTCCATGATACATCTTTCTGTCTACTCTAAGGGAATGAATATCACATGCACGTGTCATATTTGACAGACTTTTATTTAGGTAGAGCTCAGTTGTCCTTTTTACATGTGTCTCCACAAGCATTCCTTTATTTACTAAAAATTAAGATAAAACCCAAAGAAGAGTTCTGTATTGACTAAAGATGGTAGTGTGCCATAAACTAAGGAGTGAGATAAACTCCGCTTTCCTGAAGCCTGACACAACTATGAGCACACAGATTGGCGGACACAACCATCATTGCACTAGTTATTTACTGTAAAGAACTTGGGGTGATTTAAAAGCATTGCCTTCTTGCCTCTTCTCTGTATTTTCCAAACTTTATATTAAGGCTGGGTGCCATTTTTATAATGGTGATGATTAAACTCAGTTTAAAGGCTTTACACATTGCAATAGTGGTAAAGAACCCGCTTGTCATTATGTCTCATTGGCAAGGCATAGTCAGAAACAGGTTCAGTCCCTGGGTCAGGAAGATCTCCTGGAGGAAGGCATGGCAACCCACTCCAGTATTCTTGGGTGGAGAATCCCATGGACAGAGGAGCCTGGTGGGCTACAGTCCATGGGGTTGCAAAGAGTTGGACACAACTGAAGTGTTTTAGCACACATGCAAACTCATTTAAAAAAATTTATTCAGAGTAGGGAGGAGCCAAGATGGCGGAGGAATAGGA